ATATACTGTCTTATTTCATGATGATATATGTGAAATTAAAAAGGGGAAATCTGATTTGCCTCTTATTAAAGTTTACATGACTAAGAATAAGATGTTTCCTCTGGATCTTTCATGTTTTGATGATTGTGCACTGGTTGCCAATGTTAATGATGGGTCGAGGCTTTGGCATTTGCGTTATGGACATTTGCATTTTAATGGGCTGAAATTGTTGAGTCAGAAAAAGATGGTGTCTGGTCTGCCTTCCATTATTTGTATTGATGATATTTGCGAAAGTTGTATTTATGGGAAGCAGCATCGCTTACCATTTCCAGTTGGAAAATCTTTGAGAGCAAAGATGCCTCTAGAACTCGTTCATGCAGATATTTGTGGCCCAACAAATACTCCATCCTTAAACAATAGTAGATATTTCTTGTTGTTTACTGATGATTATACTCGCATGAGTTGGGTTTACTTTCTTACTTACAAATCAGAAGCTGTTGAGAAATTTCAGGAATTTAAAGCTTTTGCAGAAAAAGAAAGTGGGCATGTTTTAAAAACTCTTCGAACTGACAGAGGAGGAGAATTCCTATCAAATCAGTTTGAGTTTTTTTGCAAGCTAAATGGCATCCGAAGGCAACTGACGGTAAGAAGAACTCCTGAACAGAATGGGGTCGCCGAAAGAAAAAATAGGACAGTTGTGGAAATGGCTAGAAGTATGTTAAGTGAAAAGCGGCTTCCAAATGATTTTTGGGCAGAAGCAGTGGCAACTTCAATCTTCCTCCTTAATATATCTCCAACAAAGGCGGTGCGTAATATAACTCCATATGAAGCTTGGTGGAAACGAAAGCCCGATGTAAGTCGTTTAAAAGTTTTTGGTAGTATTGCTTATTCTTTGATCGACTCAAATGACCGTACCAAGCTTGATAGGAAAAGTGAGAAATGTATCTTTGTTGGGTATAGTGATGAAACCAAGGGCTATCGGTTGTATAATCCGGAAACTAAGAAACTAATTATTCGCAGAGATGTTGTTTTTGATGAAAATAGTTTCTGGAATTGGGAGAGTGCAAAAAAATCAAATTGTGCCATTTGTTGAAGATGAAGCTGAGCCGATACAGAGTATAGAGAAAGTAACGACTCCAAAATCCTCTCCATCATCAAGTTCTTCGGGGAGCACTCCTTCAAGGGATCTAAGTAGTGAAGACAACAGCCACATGAATCCTACTCTTGATACTGATACACCTCCACGTAAGTTTCGGTCTTTGAAAGAAATTTATGAGTCATGCACTTTTGCTCTTATGATTTCAGAACCTATGAGTTATGAGGAGGCACAAGGAATACAAAAGTGGGAAAATTCTATGCAAGAAGAAATGGCAGCAATTGAAAAAAATAAAACATGGGAGCTAGTTGACTTGCCAGCTGAGAATGATGCAATTGGTGTGAAATGGGTCTACAGAGTGAAGTACAATTCAGATGGTACTGTGCAAAGATTCAAGGCAAGGCTCGTTGCGAAAGGGTATGTGCAACAGTATGGTATAGACTTCTTTGACACTTTTTCCCCAGTTGCTAGATTTGAAACTATCAGAATGATTTTAAATTTAGCAGCTCAATTGAAATGGCAAGTATTTTAGTTTGATGTTAAATCTGCTTTTTTAAATGGGTATTTGGAAGAAAATGTGTATGTTGAACAACCACAGGGATTTGTTATAAAAGGAAAGGGGGAGAAAGTCTACAAATTAAAAAAGGCTTTATATGGATTAAAGCAAGCTCCACGAGCGTGGTACAGCAGACTTGATTCATATCTTCGTCAAAACGGGTTTCATCGAAGTGATAGTGCGCCTACTTTGTATGTGAAGGCAAAAGGTAATGATATTCTCATTGCATGTGTATATGTGGATGATATTATATACACTGGATCTTCTAACTTCTTCATTAAAGAATTTAGGGAGAGTATGATGCAAGAGTTTGAAATGTCTGATTTGGGAATATTGCATTTTTTTCTTGGTCTTCAAGTTCAACAAACTAATGACGGTATTTTTATCTCTCAAGAAAAATATGCATTAGATTTGCTCAAGAAATTTAATATGTCAAATTGCAAGATTTTTTCTACTCCCATGAATACAAGTGAGAAGTTATCAATGAATGATGGGACTCCAAAGGCTGATCAAAAGGTTTTTAGAAGCATGGTTGGAGGATTGTTGTATTTGACTCATTCTAGACCGGATATCATGTTTCCAGTGAGTTTAATCTCAAGGTTTATGCATAATCCTTCTGCACATCATCTTGGAGCAGCAAAACGGATTCTTCGCTATGTTCGGGCAACAAGTAATTTTGGGATTTGGTATAAACAAGTTCCTAATTTTAAATTGCTTGGTTTTACTGACAGTGATTGGGCTAGTTTTACAGATGACAGGAAAAGCACAAGCGGTTTTGTCTTCAATCTTGGTTCAGGAGCTGTGTCTTGGGTTTCAAAGAAACAAGCAACAGTTGCATTATCATCTTCAGAAGCAGAGTATTATGCAGTTTCATTAGCTGCTTGTCAAGCTATTTGGATGCGAAGAATTTTGGAAGACTTACATCAATGTCAGAGAGAGGAGACAAAGATCTATTGTGATAACCAGGCTACAATTGCAATGACAAAGAATCCAGTTTTTCATGGAAGAACAAAACACATTGAAATTCGTCACCATTTCATTCGAGATGTTGTTGCGAAAGGAATAATTATGATGAAGTATTGTTCAACCAATGATCAAGTTGCAGATGGGTTCACCAAAGCACTCTCTTATCTGAAATTTGTTAAATTCAGATTTTCTCTCGGTGTTTCCAATTTTGCATCAAGGGGGAGTGATGAAAATTGATGATGCAAATCCATCCATGATGTAGTTAATTCACCCACGTTTTTAGTGTCCTAGTTTAGTGGGTTTAGTGTTTGGTTGTTAACTGCAGAATAGGAAGTGGAGATAGTTGTTCCTATTTTATGTTTATCTTTCAGCATGTTCTAAGAAAGTGGGGATGGCCACTACATGTGTTTAATCTATAAATTAACATATGTCGATGCAATGTAATAGTGTGGGTTTTTAGAATCTCTGTTTTTCAGAAATAATATTTCAATTTCAGTCCTTTTTTTTTTTTTGGCTTCCAAAACAGAGCAAGTTGGTTCTCCTCTTTTTAATTTCCAACAGACGCTGCACAGAACTTCAACATCTATGGACGCCGACAGTGCGTAGAACCTCAAGCGACTGATTTCTAGTGAATTTTAGACTATCAAACGTATGCACCACTTCTTGTGAATTTCCGGTGTACTCTTCTTCCACTCTCTCTCCTCTCTACATCCTCTCACCATCGCCTACTCTAGCCACTGCCATCTCCACCCACAGTTGCTACCACCACCATACCACCTCTCTCTCCTCTCCTCACTCTTAATTCTAAACACCAAATCATATATACATTATTATTATTATTATTATACCCAAAACATAATTCTCTCTCCTGGGTCAAAAGTTCAAAACCCATTTTGGGATTGTTAATAAGCACCTTCCTCTCTCCTCTTCACCTACTCCCGCCATCACCTTCTCCAGCCGCCGCCATCTCCACCCATCGCCGCCACCACCATACCGCTCCGGTCTCCTCTCATCTCTCAACAACAAATCACATATACCTTTATATATAGAATAATAATAATAACAAAAACAAAATTTCTCTCTCTTTTTCGTAGAAGCCCATTTTGGGTTTGTTCATGAGCACCTGCCATAGGAGCTAGGGGACAACAACCACCTTGGACAATTTACAAGGACTAAAATATAGAAACACACTTACATATATATATATATATGGGTCTCTCATTCTCCTCACAGATTTTCAACTTGGCTATGGTTCTTCTTCGGTAAGTAAAGGATTTGATAAAAGATAAAATACCGAGCAAATATTAGAGGAGGGATAGAGGCCCCAGTTCTAAAAAAAAAAAAAAAACAAAAACAAACTAAAAAGCAAAATGGCTGTGACACATATAATCTATAATCTATATACACACAGACACACATATATACATTACTATACACACACACAACAACAACTCACCCTCTAACCCACTTCCTTTCCGGTCGTCATCCACCGCCGGAATCACTCCAGCATCGACCCACCCTAACAATCTTTATGCATATTTAAGTGAAGGACATTGTTGTACTTTTAACTTAATAAATCAAGGGTAGTTTTGTAATTTGGCATTGGTCAATAAGGTTAAAGATGTCATTTTATCCAATAGAAGAGCAAAATTGGCTTCTGACGATTTTTTCAGCACACGCCGTCAGTTGCTTAACGGTAGGGAGTAATTTGCTACTTAAATCAAAATCTCAAGAGAGATGTAGGTGAAATATTGAAACGTAAAGAAAGTATAAGCGAAATATTGTCAAATGTCGGGATGTAGGTGAAATTTATCCTATAATATTTCTAGATTGATGTCCAAATATTGGACACGCAGGACGTCTAGCTTTAAAATGATAAAGATACATTTTAAATATATTCTAACATTTGAATATTTTATTTTGTAATTAAAAATAATAAATTAATGATTTCATTCATCATATATATGCATCTGATTGTGACAGTAAGAAGCTGGACTATTCATTTTATTACATTTAGAAAATATCCCATTTGGTTTGTTTAGCGAAGTTTTCCCTTCCTCAAAACAAGGTCAAAATAGGACGACAAATAATAGCTCAACATGTAAAAAAAAGGACAAGTGCCAAGAGAATGCTTTCCTCTCAATGATAATGCTTTAAATTTCATTAAAAAATGATATTGTATAGGTCCCTTCAGGCATATACAGATGATCTTTATTATAATTCACTATGTTGCAATGAATCCACTAACAAGGCCAAAATAGAATTTTCTACGTTTCAATAAATCCAATAACAATTTTTATCCAAAAAATAAAAAATCACTACGACATCATGCTAGAAAATGGCCGTAAAAAAATAAAAATAAATAAAAAAGAAGAAGAAGAAGATGGCATAGTATTGGTTCCTTCAATCATGAGTTGAGCTTCCAAGCCTTCCATTAAGTTCCTCCGTGGGTTTCAATACCCACCTATTGAGATGATCTGCTGTATTATTCACCTGTAAGGGGAATAATAGGATCTTATCTAAACCATTGAAAACTAGGATCTGATTTAGAAATTAAAATATTAACTTTATTCTTTATTCACGTGATGATCCCAGTTAGTTTTCCAGATAATGTAGGATAGCACTAGTGTTTGCATTGCCACTCCACATATCATTCCGGTCCATATACCCTACAAAACAAAAGGTATAATTTACACAATGAATCGAATCATCAAGAATATGCTAAAACTAGAGTAAGCATCGGTAAAAGCTTGGATTAACAAGCGTGAATATTCAAGTTCAGAACTTAGAGCAATCACACCTCTAATCTTCTCCTCTTGCATGTGGCGCACTAATAAATCCATATACCCTAGATAATGCATTTTATCTTTCACGAATATGTCATAAATCATTTATTTCATATTCGAGCATCCTAGCACATTAAGTATTTTAAAGTCCTGTGGATATGATTGAAAAATTATGCCAAAGGGGTTAGGTTTGTCTCAAATCTTCTTCTCTTAGCACCTCAGTGGTCAAACACTGAGCATTACATTGTGACTAACCAAAAAAAATTTGCAATGGAATACAAAGTAAGGTGTGTGTGGCTTCTTACCATAACTTGCAAATGACCAACATAACCAAGCAAAAGTCCTAGTGGAACTCCAATGATATAGTAGCTACCAATATTAATGAAAGCAACCACACTTTGCCAACCAGCACCTACAGCCACCCCTACTTAAAGAATTTAAGGGTTGAAAATTGTCCATGATTAAAAGATGTGCTTGAACACGAGTGTCCCGTGCATGTGCACGTGAGTCCTAAAATTACTTAATCCTGTCTGTAAGAAACAAAATACTTGCCAGAGAATACTGGTTGAAGACTATTAAGCAAGATTGAGAAAGCGAGTAGAACAGATTTTGCAACTTCTTCATTACTTGTAAACAAGTAACACATACCGTGACCAAAAATTAGACATAAAACTGCAAAGAACAATCCAATACAAAGTGAAGTAATTGAGATGACTTTGACAGAAAATCCTGCAGCTTCACTGTTTCCTGTTCCCAATTCATTTGCGACCCGCACACTGTCAAATGAAGCATTAAAGGAACATGAATGTATGTATGCACAAACACATATATATACCCTTCTTTTTAGATGCACAATTGGTTCTACTATTAGAGAAAGAAGGGGCAGAGTTTCCAGAAATATGGCAGTACCTTGCAGCAGCTAGGAAGCCTACGGATATCATTAATTCCTATGCAATGATATTTAGGCTGCAAAATGTCACGCTAAATTAAAACAATTTGTTTGGCAATGTTGAGTGCCCAAAAGAAACAAAACAGGTGAGTTCAGATAAATATACCATATGGGCAAGGCCGATGTGGCAATTGTAGCATTTTCCATATATGACGCGAGTAAGATCAAAACAGCGTAGTACCAAAACTCCACGTTGTCAATGGAAATAACAATATTAATTGAAGAAACTTTTAAAAAGTGAAATTATATTAGTTCCAAAAGGAATCAAAATGGTTTTGATCAACTGGTGAGTTATCTGGATATTCCTTATAAATTATAACAATGCATTTCTGTTGCACTACTGTGCACTAGACAAACGCTTTGACATGGAGATATTTTCTGATCAATCTTTATTTTTTATTTATTTTATTTTTATAATTTTTTTTTGGGAGGGGGGGAGAGTAAGTCAATTTTCCGATCAATCTTTATACATAGTGACTGCTATTAATCTTACTAGACTAGGGTCTCTTGATTGTTTATTTGCTTAAATATTTTCTGATCAATCTTGATGCAAAGTAATTATTATTAATCTTACAAGACTTGAGCCTCTTGATTGTTTCTCTGCTTACAGCTGAATCCTGCAATGCTTACTCAAACAATTATAAACTAGACAGTGACTTCAAGTAGTCTCTTATCAAATATACAAGACAGTCTTATCAACTAGTCATTCATTACTCTTGCCATCAGCGGTGTAGGAGTGGTATCTCTTCGCCTTCCAAAACAGAAGGTTGATGATTCGAGTTCCCATAAGGACACAATGGGTGTGTGAGTTATTAACCAGGAAGAAGAAAAAAATAATAATCATCACTCCAAATGATTCATTTCACTATATGCACTGACAAAAAAGAATGGGTTACCAACTCAGATGACACGACAGATATCACTCTAATATATCATAATAAAGATATCACATTTAAGTAAAAGTTAAAAACAGCTTAGCAAATAAATAAACACAAACTTTTGTTAACCAAGGAGAAATTCACTAACCAAAGCATCGCTCCAAAGGATATTGATAGCTTTATTACAGGTAATAGGTTTACAAAGGCAGCTTTAGTGAATCCTCTCCAAGTCTCTGGACACCAACCTCCGAAAACGTATACAAACTCTCCGACAACCATCAACCAATATGATATGATCATGGCACTCATTGCACCAGGGACACCCAAGTTCCATTTGATCACAAAGAGCCAAGATAGGAAGACATGAATTACAAAGCCACCCAACAATCATGTTCTTGAGCTGTCCTTGGAAGTACTTTTGGATGGTTAAGGTAAACACAAAGTAGTAGAGAATGGGAATGAACCATAAAGAAATGTTCCCTATCTCTTTTGCTATATTGTCGTCCTGGCCAAGAAGTCGGAAGATAGGTCCCGCAAAGACAAAGAAGGGAACCAAAAGTGTGACTGCAGTGAGATTAATAATCCAGGATCTTTGCAGGTAGATACCCAGCATGTGGTATTGTCCCGCCCCAAATGCTAGCCCACACAAAGTCTCTGTTGCACTTGACATGCCTAACTATATAGCACACAAATAAAATATTTCACAAGGTAATTGTATGAACAATTTATGTGTTTCCCACTCTATTAGGTCTTGACAATAGACCTATAGCAGGACACATACTGCTAGTGTTGTTTCTCTTGTATAATTCCAAGTTATTCACCATTAAAAACACGAGACTTGTTGGACAATTATAATGTTTCAAGGTAGTAATACTGCTGTGATGAATACAGACTGCAATTTAAAGCATAAGCAGACCTTTCACTATATAACTTATACATGATACAGATAAGAAAGAACATGATAAGAGCTCACGAATATTCCATTTACAAACCGGATTCCAATTATTTGTATAAGGGCATATGCAGCAAGTTGTGATTCACCAATATGTCCCATAAATGCCTGTGTCACCACCAAAATCCCATATGCACTCACTTTTGTTAGTATAGAAGGAAATGCAACTCTCCACAGTTTCTTTTATTCCGCCCAAACTCTGACTTTCAATGCACTTGTTTCTTTTGTTTCTGACACCAAAAGCCCCTCTTCCATCCTGTTATTCGTAATCCCAGATAGGAAGATAAGAAAAGAAAAATAGGATAAAAGACAGGAATTTGCCCCCAGCTTTTTCTACTTCCCATTCATGGATAGTAACCAAAATTTGTGAAAATCTTTGTTAGGGAATCAATGCATTATATGAGCGCATGTCTTGCCATCGTAGGATGGGATATTGGGAGGGGGGGAAACGGAGTAAGAACGAATTATTTTGCATAAAGTGGTTGTTCTAAGACTCGACCTAGCAATATTATGGTAGAAACAAAAGGGGAGTATTTACTACGCATACAATAATTGGAACAAAACTGCTTACATGAATTCATATTGCTTAAATTTCTAGTGTAGGCCAAATTTCTAGTGTAAGACTAAATTGCATTTTGAGATGGAGATTTGGGAGCCTTAATATCTTTTGTGACGGCTAATGGTTTTATTTAGTTAATAGTGGTTTTAGACCACCATTTGAAGCTGCATGTGGAGGCCATATATCCAAAATTCCAATTAAATTGAGAAGCTAAGAAATTCCAAACAACCACTTTATGCATTGCTTGATACCAGAAATCTGACTCCTCTATTGTACTAACAACTAAAGATAATTTAGGCTTGAAAGAAAAGGATGAGGATCTTCTCATGTTCCTCTTTTTGCTTTGCCACTTCTGTGCGCTTCAATCGACAACGCAACAATTTTAAATCGACAATGCAATAAATTAAGGCGTGCAAATACTCTCTCCGTCCCAAAGTAAGTGTCCACATTGGTATCTGAGACAATATGCAACTTTTCTTACTCAAATTCCAACTACTTCAAATTATTAGAATACAATTTTTTTTTTGTATTTGTATTGCACTTGATGTAATGATTTGAGTAAAATGTTCAATTTTACATTTTAGTTTGATGATCCATTAGTTTGGATGTAAAATATTTAAAGAAAAAAATATTAAAACAGGCAAATTATTTTACACAACTCACTCTCTGAACACCACAACAACCTCAACCTTTGACAAACACCAAAAAAATATATATTTTACCTGAAAAAAGAAAATATAATTCAAGGAAGATATTATGCCTTTAATTTACAACTCCTTCAACTCGCATTGTTCAAAAATTTTCTCTCAAATTTTTATATCTATGCTTTTAGATTAGTGCTAGCAGAGGGCGTTCCAATTTTTGTTGTTTTTCTATTACATATACCCTTTCTTTAATCATAGCTTGTAAATACTAGTACTAATTAGGGTTTTGGAACAAATTTAAAGTTTATATGTATACACAGTACAATGAGGAAGGAGAGAGTAAGAGGACTGCACATACATGAGAGATGACCTCGAAGTCGCACGGCCTGAAATAGCGCACACTTCCCGATAATCATCGAGCTTCGAAATTTGTGGGAAAGAATGCAATGAGGAATTTTTTTGAATTTGAAGTTAATCCTGCTTTGGCCATATAAACTCGTCCACAAAGTCGAAGCCGAAATTTCACAATTGGAAGGCAGGCGAGGTTTCGTGTTGGAATTTCAAAACAAAACCCTAGTAACAGATTGGGATCAATATCGAGCATGGTCTCTGGAACGACAAATTGTTCTGGGATCCCCAGATTACTCATTCGAATCAAATAAAGTGAAAATTATTTTTTGTTCTTCAATTTGATGAAAGAGTTGAGAAGACGTGAAGGAAGAAGAGAACACTGTGATGGCAATTAAATTTACCGATTTTAAAAGTTTATTTTTCACTTTGTTGAATTAAGTAAAATAATTACATATGCATCAATAACTATTGTTTAGATCTAAAATACTATTCAAACACTTATTTCAAAATATTAAAAAGTATTGAAAGTTAACTTAGAGTATCTCCAACTGTATAAATTTTGTGTATAAATTTTTTGTAAATTTGATGTGTCAGAGTAGATTTACACAAAAATTTTGTACTATTTATTTTTAGCTCCAGCAGTTATTTTATACCTTTTGTGTAAAAAAAAATTCCCTAATAACAACCAACCACGTGTCATACTTAATGTCTTACGTAACTTTTACAAACTTACTTGATTCACTTTACTTTTTCGCGATTAAGCCTCACTTCACAATCCTCCTCAATTAAAAAAAAAAAAATATTCCCTTATATTTCACTTTCCCATCCCGCCACTAGCAAACCTTTCAAGCCGACACCAGAATTCTAACTTATAACAAATAATAAAATAAGTTTTAAGTATGTAAAAATTACGTGATTAAAATATATATTTAATATTTCGTTAGTACATATTTAAAATCTAAAAAAACCCTAAAACCTACGGCGATAATTGCAGAAGATAAGATCAAACGAAAGTGATAAATCAAACTATGTTTATTAAAAAAATAATAAATAAATAAAAGATGGTCGGATAGTTCTTATCTTGCCGTCAGTTGCATATTCTTTTCTATGACGCTCTAGAAAAGTGAGAAATAAAGAGGTGTAAAGAAATGAGAGAGAAGAAAGAGAACTGCGAGTGGGAAAGGGGGAGGAGAGAGAAAATATGCTTACGTGGCTGTGTAAAATGATATTGTAACAAACTGCTGGAGATGAAAAACATTTACAAATCATATGTGGCAGTATATATTTTATACAAATTTTTTTTTAACACACAGCTGGAGATGTTCTTAGAAATCTTATTTTTCTAAATTTTATGAATGAAAGAATGATTTGATTTAGGAAAGATATTTTGGTATTTTGAATTAAGAGTTTGAAGGATATTTTGGATCTAAATAATAATTTTTAATGCATGTGTAATTATTTTACCTCAACCAAATTAAAAAATTAATTTTAATAATAGATTGATTTGTTATTTAAGATTCCTAAATTTACTTAAATGTGTATATATATATATATATATATATATATACACATTAACGGAATGGTGGGGGAGTGGCGCGGTAGCTGGAAGGGGAAGAGAAGAACTTTTTCCTTTACAAACGTTTCAACTTTTATTATTATTACTATAATAAATAGGGTTGGGCCAAAAGAGTTTTAGGTGAATTCTAATTGATAAATACAATTTTAACCCAAAAAAAAAAAAATTTCTTTTTACCAAAATGATCTTTCACTTTATTTATTTAGTAATGAAAATGTTTCAGTTGTATTTAATGAGAGTTAGAATAATAATAATAATAATAAATATATAAAATTTTAAAAATAAAAATACAAATTGACCCGTTCATTTTTTAAAAATGGGTCGAGTGTGATAAATGGGTCGTCCCCACCTCACTAACTTGGATTTATAACTTCAAATTTCGTAAAATATGAGAAAGTGCACAAGTAAGAAATTAAGGACTTACTAAAAGAAGCAGTGAAGCACGATTCATGTGAAAGTTTTGTTTTGTTTTTTTAACCCGGTCATTGGATCATGAAGGGTTGATCCAACCCTAATTCAACCCCACCCATATTCAGTTTAACCTAGTCCAAATCTATTCAGATTTGTCCGTTTACTGAATTTACTTTAAACTGACAGCACAATAATTACATAAATGTATTGCATTTTTTATACAAATGAGTTGCATGAGTGTCACATTATTATTGTATACGTAATGTAGTATTTTGCACGGTTAATCTAATAGTGCACGGTAGAGTGAGAACATGAGAAGATATATATAGATCAGAAAGGAAAATTTGATAATTTATTCATGCATGGATTAATAATCATTGGAATATTAAGTAAAACATAAAACAAAAAAACAGGAATATTGAAATATTAAGTTAAAACTGGAATTGAACAACATTGAGAATCCATAAAAAGGAAGTAGAGAGTGTGATGACCCTACGAGCGGGTGTGCCGTGGGCTGATGCAAGAAACACTGTCAGGCTATCACACTGGTGAGTTACGGGTGTACAAGTCCCACATTGTTTGGGGTAGAGAAAAGGTGAAGTGCTTATATGTAAGTGTGTCATCTCCAATCGGTATGAGGTCTTTTAGGATAAAGTGTAAGAGCAAAATCGTTCGAGCTCAAGCTCAAACTCAAAACAAATAATATCAGATGGAATGGATCATTAGAGAGAGAGAGAGAGAGAGAGAGAGAGTTACTTGATAAACATTGGAGTTGCTTTTAGAAAACTTAACCCTTTTAAGGGTAAAAGGGTTGTGTAATCACTGCAGACTTGAATAGATCCCCAAACAGATGTACATAGGAAACAGCCACGATCACTATGAGATAGAGAGATCTGACACCTATGTTAATGTATACACACACCAACGACAATTCTAACTACCATGTTGTTGTTGTACATATAATTTGAAATGTGAGAGAGGATAATGAAAACATATATAAAAATGGGGTCTTTTTAGCTAGTACTTTTGCTATATATATATATTTTTTTTTTGTTAATGTATTATAACAAAATAAAATCACGTAATATGTTTGGTAATATTTGTTCCGTTTTTAAATAGTATCGAAGCACTTTTAAAATTGAGCTTAAAATTGAAAGTATCAAAATGATATTTTTATTTACTTTTGTATTGTATTAAAAAAAAAAAAAAAATTTAAAATAATAATTTTAACTAATTATTCAAATTTTCGAACTTGCAATATTTTTTACCAAACATACTTTCATATTTTTACTTCTAAAAATCTTGTAACAAATTTACGTTACCAAATAAATTTCTAAATAGTGTTGAACAATAAACATACTCTTAAAGTGGAAACATTATTTTTGTTTCGGGTCAAAGCAATTGTAGTTACTAAACTGGTCTAAATTTTTTAATCATGCAACTTGAAAATTTTGAATTATGTGTTATAAATAACCTGTAAATAATGTTTATACTGTAAAATAAAAATAAAAACAAATAGTGACTCAACACAATCCTTGGTTCCATAAACCTGCGGCGACGTACCTAAAAGTTCTTTTACTACTAATATTTTACTCTGTTATTTTATATTTCTTTTGTGCAAATGGGGGAGTAAGAGACAAAGAAGTCGGTGCCATTAACATCATAAAATGAAGGGGGGAAAAACTATAACTAATAAAATAATATTTATTTATATATTTATTATTAATTGGGCTCGAGTTTACGGTTTGACGGGTTTTAAGCTTTTTATTTTTTTAAATTCATCTCTAACTTTATTAAGATGATCCCAAACTTGGACAAGAAAAATTAACATCCCTACAAATGTATAGCACATTAATTGAAAATATATTAAAAATAATTATTTTAAATTATCTGAAAAATAAATTAAATAACAAGGGTCGTCTAATTTTGATTTAAGTCCCACTAAAAACAAATAAGTACGTGGGCTTCTTATCAAACAAATAATAATAATAAATTAAGTAATAAAGATAAAGAGGGAGAGAGATCCAAACTAAGTAGCATACACCATTTTGTTTAGGATTGTCGCAGTTGCAGTATTAAATACACTTTCAGGACGTAATTTTGTAATTTTTATTTTTTTTAAATAATGAGATTGAATTCAATTTAAAATATATTAAAATTTAATATATAAATTTAGAAAATAAAATAACAAACATCCTACTCTAAAGTCTAAATTATTGATTTCATTAATGAAAATATGAATAAATTGAGCACAAATTACTATAAATATATATAATATAATATATTTTATTCTTTTTATATCTGTGTTATATATTTATATATATATATATATATATATATATATATATATATATATATTATATTGTGTCATACCTTTGGTACATATGTGAGTATTGCTCGACCTTTGGTATGCATTGTTTAGTCGGTGTGACATTTTTTTTTTTAAAAAAATAAATAAATAATAATAGCTCAATATGTAGAAAAAATAATAGGACAAAGTAAGGAGAAGGTGCTGAGAGCTTGCCTCCCTCTAATTTTTAGATTAAACTCAAAAGGATAATGCTTTAAAATTTATTTTAAAATGATATGGTATTGGTCTCTTCAAGGCTTCAAGCATGTATAGATATGATCATTCCTAAAAATGCAGTGACAAGGTCAAAAGCTTTCTCGACATCACGCTAAAGAATGGTGGTTACAAAAAAAACCAAACAAAAAAGAAAAAGAAAAAGAAAAGAAAACCCATCAAGCATGAGTTTGGCTTTCAGTAATTTCCTCTGTGGGATTCAATGCCCACCTATTCAGATGATCTGCAACATTATTCACCTGTAAGGGGAGGAAAAATAGTCACAAAATTGATATTCATTTACATTTTATCTAAACCAGAGAAAGCTATGATATTGGTGATCTGATTTAGAAATTAAAATATTAACTTTACAATATATCTTTTTGTTCTTCTATATTCACTACCTGATGATCCCAGTTAGTTCTCCAGATAATGTAGGATAGCACTAGTGTTTGCATTGTCACTCCGCATATCATTCCGGTCCAAATACCCTGTTAAACGAAACATATAAACTTTACAAAGAACTGAATGCAGAATACAAATCCATGGACAAAATTTTGGTGTTTATGCAACATTGTCATGAAATTCAGGCAAAATATAAAAGCTTATCATCAATAATATGCTAAAACTAGGGGTAAGCATCGGTAAATGCTTGATTGTTTTTGGATTAACAATCGTGAATATACATGGTTCGAACTAAGAGCAATCACATTTATAATATTCTCCTCCTGCATGTAGCTTCTACACTAGATAATGCACTTTTTTTGTACAGATATGTGTGAATCATTAATATAATATTCGAGCAACCTAGCACATTAAGTATGTCAAGTCTCATGGATTTGATTGAGTAATTTTGATAAAGGTTAGGTTCCTCTCCAATCTTGTTTTCCTAGCACTGCATGTGGTCGAATTCAAAGAGCATTACATTGTGATTATCTGTAATGAAAAAATAAAAACTAAAGAAAATGCAATGGAATACGAAGTAATGTGTAGTGTGTGTGTGGCTTCTTACCTTAACTTGCAGATGAGCGAAATAACCAAGCAAAAGTCCTAGTGGAATTCCAATGATATAGTAGCAACCAATATTAACGAATGCAATCACACTTTGCCAACCAGCACCTACAGCCACCCCTGCTTAAAGAATTCAAGGGTTGAAAATTGTCCATGATTAAAAGATGTGCTTGAACACGAGTGTCCTGTGAGTGTGCGAGCGTGCACGTGGCTTCTAAAATTACTTAAATCATGTCTATAAGAAACAAAATACTTGCCACAAAATACTGGCTGAAGACTATTAAGCAATATTGAGAAAGCAAGTAGAACAGAGAGCCTTGACACAGATTCTGCAACTTCTTCATTACTTGTAAACAAGTAAGACATACGGTGACCAAAAATTAGACCTAAAACAGCAAACAACGATCCAATACAAAGTGAAGTAATTGAGATGACAATGACAGAAAATCTTGCAGCTTCACTGTTTCCTCTTCCCAATTCATTTGCAACCCGTACACTGTACAAATGAAAATATTAAAGGAATATGTACATATATACTTTTTCTAACAGCAATAAGTGGTTCTACTATTCGAGAAAGGAGAGGCAGGGTTTCCAAAAATGAAGGCAATACCTTGCAGCAACTAGGAAGCCTATGGATATCGTATATTCCCATGCAATAATATTTAGGCTGCAAAATGTCACGCTAAATTAGAACAATATGTTTGGTAATGTTGAGTGCCTAAAAGAAACAACACCAGTGAGTTCAGATAAATATACCATATGGAGAAGGCAGATACGGTTATCATTGCATTTTTCATATACGACACGAGTAAGATCAAAACACCATAGTACCAAAACTCCAAACTGCCAATGGAAATAACAAGAATAATTGAGGAACCTTCTAGAGAGTGTGAAAAATTATATCAGTTCCAAGAGGAATCAAAATGGTTTGGAACTGACTAGTTCTCTGGATATTCCCAACAAATTTTATCAATGCTCCACTAGACAAAAGTTTTTGACATGGAGATATTTTCTTATCAATCTTTATACAAACTAACTATTATTAGTCTTGGGCCTCTTGATTGTGTCTTTGCTTACTGCTGAATAAAATCTTGCAATGCTTACTTCAAACAATTGCAAACTAGACAGTGACTCCAAAGTAGTCATTATTCTTACCACTAAAAGCATAGCACAGTGGTATCTCTCACCTCCAAAGTGGAAGGTTGAGGATTCAAGCCTCCAGAAGGACGTAACAGGTGTGTGGGTTATTAGCCAGGAAGGAGAAAAAATCTATAATCACTCTTCTATTCGAAAACTTTTTAATCCAGCAGGAGATTGATTTAATTCACTAAACGCAACAACGAAAAAGAATGTGTTAACAATTCAAATGACATGCCAGATATCACAGTCCTAATATATCATAATAAAGATATCACATCTAAGTAAAAGTAAAGAACAACTAAGCAAATAAATAAACAAAAACTTTTGTTAACCAAGGAGAAATTGACTAACCAAAGCATCACTCCAGAGGATATTGATAGCTTTATTACAGGTAGTAGGTCTACAAAGGCAGCTTTAGTGAATCCTCTCCAAGTCTCTGAACACCAACCTCCGAAGACGTATACAAACTCTCCAACAACCATCAACCAACATGATATGACCGTGGCACTCATTGCACCAGGGACACCCCAGTTCCATTTCATCACAAACAGCCAGGACAGGAAGGCATGAATTAGGAATGAAGCAGTGCCTAGCCACCCAACAATCATGTTCTTGAGCTGTCCTTGCAAGTACTTTTGGATGGTTAAGCTAAACACATAGTAGTAGACAATGGGAATGAACCATAAAGAAATGTTCCCTATCTCTTTTGCTATATCTTCGTCCTGGCCAAGAAGCCGGAAAATAGGTCCCGCAAAGACAAAGAAGGGAGCCAAAAGTGTGGCTGCAGTGAGATTAATAATCCAGGATCTTTGCAGGTAGATACCCAGCATGTGATATTGCCCTGCCCCAAATGCTTGCCCACACAAAGTCTCTGTTGCACTTGACATGCCAAACTATAGCAAACAAATAAAATATTTCACAAGGTAATTGTATGAACAAATGGTGTGTTTTCTAAAGTCTTGATAATAGACCTATAACAGAACACATACTATTAATGTGTTGTTTCTCTTGTATAATTCCAAGTTATTCACCCTTAAAAATATGAGACTCGTCAGCCAATTATAAAGTTTCAAATTAGTAACAATGCTGGAATGAATATAGTCTGCAATTTAGAGCACAACCATAGACCTTTCACCATATGACTTACTTATACAAGCAACATAAATATAGGAAAGAACATGATAAGAGCTTACCACTATTCCGTTTGCAAACTGGATTCCAATTATTTGTATAAGCGCATATGCAGCAAGTTCCTTTTCACCAATATGTCCCATAAATGCTTGTGTCACCACCAAAATCCCATATGAACTTAACTTTGCTAGCATAGAAGGAAATGCAACTTTCCACAATTTCTTTGATTCCACCCAAAATCTGACTTTCAAGGCACTTGTATCTTTTGTTTCTGATACCACTGACCCCTCTTCCATCCTTTTATACATAATCCCAGCTAGGAAGATCAGAAAATAAAAATAGGACATAGAAACAGGAATTTGTGCACCCAGAGTTTTTCTACTTCCCATGGATACTAACCAAAATTCATGAAAATATTTGTTACACAATGAATGCATTATTTGACCTCAGGCCATTAGCCCAAGCTGGTATAACCTCTCCTCCCTCAATGGAGAAGTGAGGGGTCCCATTATTTGGCCACAGGCCATTAGCCCAAGCTGGTCTTGCCATCGTGTGGGATGGGATACTTGGAGGGGGGAATGGAGATAGGAACAAAGTATTGGTATATTTTGGTAAATTAAAAAAACGGTAAATAACAAAGTTTTGGTATTATTTTGCATGAGGTGGTTGTTCTTGGACTCGACCAAGCAATGTCACGGTAGAAACAAAAAGAAGAGTTTTACCACACATATATGGAATAAGTTTATTGGAATAAAATTGTATAAATGAATGGTTATATATATATATATATATATATTTAGCAATAAAACTCTAGTGTTGGGCAACTTTCTAACGTATGACTTAATTGCAAATTGAGATAGAGATTTGGGAGCTTTAATGTCTTTTGTGACTGCTACTAGATTTTTTTGTATAGGCAAAACAGAGAGATATTTACTAACCATTGGTGGTATGGTTGAGGGTCAAAATTCATATGCTTCTTGTGCATGAACAAGGAGTATTATGACAGCAAGGGTGCCTGTTGACATTAAGTTAATAGTGGTTTTGGACCACCATTTGAAGCCGCATGCGGAGGCCATATATCCAGAATTCCAGACAAATTGAGAATCCCACACCTTCCAAACTGTAAAGTCAATGCTTGATTCCAGAAACCTCCATTTAACATGCAACCACGAACTCTACTATTGGACTAACAACTAAAGATTGTATATAAACTTAGCTAAACATGAGGTACTTAGAATTTAGGCCAGAAAGAAACTGAACAATTTTGTTTTGTTTTGTCATTTGTGTCATTCTGTGTGCTTAAAATCGATAAAACAACGATTTTTAAATCATAATGCAATAACTTTAAATTAGGCCTAGAAAATATTGTTCAAACTCATCAACCCGTCCAGGTGTTAGTGTATTTTAGTCAATTGTTTTTGTGTTGTGGGTCTAAAAAAAAAAAGGGCTGACTTTAGGGTATATTTGGTACAGTGGAAAAGAAAAGAAAGAATAGCATCAGTAAAGAGAGAAAAGAAAATAAAGAAAAGGAGTAAAGAGTGTTAACTATTTATCGTGCTTGGTTGATTAATGGAGGAAAATAAAGGAAATAATTGTAATCATGTTTGGAGAAAGAAAGGAAATGAAACTATTTTAATGAATTTACAGCATATTCTTTTTTATAGAATTTGTTTTTTACACAACATATTCTTTCTCATAGAATTTGTTTTTTATAAAAATAAGGACAAAATTATTATTAACAAAGTTTCATTAAAAATACTAACACTTCCTTCATTTTCCTTCCATTTCATCTCATTTTCGGAGGATCACAAAAGTTACCATTCATGCCTTGTATCCCTCCAAATCCTTACTTTTCCTTACAACATTTCATAAGAAAAACAATTCCTCTTCTCCCTCCATTACTATTCTTTCCTTTTCCTTCCATTTCCATTGTACCACACTTGCCCATAAATAACCCGACAAGTTGAATATGGGCAATTCGCAACATACATGGTACCCCTATTCACCCGCCAAAAGAAACCTAATTCTTCATTCCCTCCCCAACTGAAAAGACATACATTGTTATTGCCATATTTTTAGTTTTTCAATTCTAAGAAGTTACCCATATGTTAAATAAGCTTCACATATAGAGCTGTTGCAATATTATGTAATAAAATTAATTAAACTACAACAAATGATCTCCTAAAAATTAGCTAATTCTTAAAAAATCTTCCAAACCAATGTAAATAAAAAATAAAAAAAAAAATCAACCCAACTTCGAAATTATAATATACAAATTAATTCATAAAATTTCACAAATTCATGAAATTTTGATTTAAAAATTATTAATAATAAGAACAACCAAAAGTTGGAAAGCAGCAAAGTACCTCCCAAGAGGTGAGGGATTGAGTGTCCCCAAGAGCAAATGGGTGAGTGAGTTTTTTGTCCATGAAAATATTTATAAACACACATACGGGTGTGCATATATATACAAAATATCATCTTTTGCAGACGAACCATCAACGCTCAAAATCGCAGGTCCAGCAACTCTCTCGCCAACCGTCGTCGCCGATCCCGCAACACATACATATCGTTACACACACGGAAGCACAAAAACACCTTTGATCAGTTGTGATTTTGATCATATCCACAAATCAAGACTCAGCTAGTTTCTTAAACAACTTCAATAGAAAATGTTGAAAAAGCAAGGCTTGAATCCTTTGGTTTATATGGTGTATAAGGTTTGGGTTTAGATGGCGGCGAGAAAGGCGGCGGTGCCGTCGGGGGAGGACAGATACGGGTGGCGGAGCCGCTGTGGGGATGGGATGGGATGGGGTGAGAGAATATTCCAGAAAACTTAAGGCTTAGGGTTAAATTTTTGTGGCAAAGTTGTCATTTCACATTGAAATATTTTACAGAGGTGCACAAAAATTAACAGCTGATTGTAGCGTAACTTACAATGGCGTGGTTTAAGTTTTTTAAAAGAATAAATTATATTGACTTTTCGTAAATTACACAGATAGCGTTTTGAACTTTATCATTTTGACCTTTTAAATAAATATTTATTATATTTTTATCTAATTTAATATTAATAGTTTAATATAAAATAATGTCAAACTAAAAAGACTCTCTAAACATTTTTCCCATCTTGTAAATACTATATATTACTCCTACCTAATTTTTTTCTTTTTCTACAAGATGGGAAATATGGATGGAAAAAAAAAAAAAAAACCCCTAATTCAACCCTAAAAAGACACTTGATCGAATGTCATTAACAAAAAAATTAAATAAAAATTAGTATGAAAATTGATTTTTTGCATTTCAATGAAATTTTATGGTTTTTTTGTTAATTTTATGTCAAAATATAAAATTATTGAGGTCTTTTAACACAAAAAATAATAACTTAATTATTTTTTAAATTTTCATTACAGGGATAGATTTGAACACACACATCAAATATTAGGAATATGTTACTTCTATTATGGTTGTGACTTAGTTATATCATTGTGCGGCAAATAGTACGTCCTTACAACTTGACTATTATATATACGGTGGTCATATATTACTTGTTGGGGCCTAGTGAAAAAATATATATATTTCTACTTTTCTTCTTTAAGTATTTTCCAAATAACATTTGATAAGTTTTTATTGGCAACAAAACGTGTACTTGTTTACCGTGTACTTCTTTTTTCGCACTGCCTACGAACTCTTGAATTGTATCGACTTTACGAGTATACCTAACATGTCTCTTTATCTCAAATTCAATTTTTATATGATTTAATTTTACTTTCAATGTGCAGAAACCGTTTGCTTAGAACGGGTTGCATGTGTCACATGGCAGTAATTTCTTTTTTTTTTATATATTTTTTCCACACATGAAAACTTAATATGGGTCAAGCAACGTTTGCACAGTTAATATGGGTTTCTAACCTATTTTACCCACTCATTTTAATCCAGCCAAATTCAACAAAGAATATGATGATGAATTAGTCCAACATAAAAACATTTCTTTTTTCTTTCTAAAAAATTTGTTATTGAATCATTATGGAATATGATGATGAATTAGTCTAAATTTGACTATTTGTTAGATGTATTTAATTAAATCGTCAATGCAATAACTACGTAAATATTTTAAAATCTTAATTTAATGATATTGTAGTGTTGTGTTACACTGTTGATTTAGCAGTGCATGGTGAGAAAGACGAGAAATCCAAACCTGAAAAGGAAAGAAAGGAAGGCGTGGCTATGATGTTCTTTGCACCAATGGTTTTATTGATGCATGAAATAACCATTATTAACTTAACAGCTTATACGTTCAAAAATATTTAAAAAATAGAAAACAAAAAAACAGTAACAGTGAAATATAAGAAAAAACTGGGATTCAACACCACTGAGAATCCATAAAAATGAAGAGGAGAGAGAAAGACTTACTTGATAGAGTAGTTACTCTTCAGTTGTTGTGTAATTCCAGCAGACTTGATCACTACGAAGAGGGAGAGAGTGCGAGAGTTAAAGAGAGAGAGAGAGAGAGAGCGCGAGAGTTGACTACCTACAGTACAGTACACACGAGAGAGTGTATTGCCTGTACACATGAAAACAAAATTAGTTTATTTCAATTTTCTATTCAAGCAATTTTGAATTCTTAGAGATAGACTTAACTACTTGATAGCCATTGGAGTTAGCTTTTAGAAAAATTAGATTACTGCAGATTTAATATCTTCACAGTTCACACAACACATATAGGAAACTGCCACTTGATCACTATGAGAGAGAGATCTGATATATCGACCACCTAGATCTATCTATACATGCAACGCCTATTTATTGTATACTTTAAATTTATTCTATTCATGCAAACTTTAAATTTGTTGAATCATGTGCCTATTTATTGTAAGTATTTGTATATGAAAATAAAATAGTCACAACACAAACCTTGGTTTCATAAAAGACGATAAATAATAGTTCTTCATGTAGAAAATTAATAAGACGCAGTAGATAACATGTGATAAAGTACATGTGGGCTCCCTCTAAATTTTAAATTAAACTCCTAGTTTAGGTTTGCTTATTTATAACTCTCGCAACAATTTTTTGTTTTTAAAAAATTAAAAATAAAAAATTGTACAAAAAATTTTACTTGGTTCAGTTTTTCAAAAATTATTTTTTGAAAACTTTGTTATAAAAATGTCTGTTTTCAGATTACTGTCTTTTATAATTATATGAAAACAGTTTTATATTATCTAAATTCTCGAGAACTGTTTTCAGAATTATAAACAAACCAAGTTCTAACTTTTTAAGGTATGAAGTTTAGTGTAAGTCGGCAATTGTAGTGTTAGTAGTTTTAGGCTGGCTGAAGATAAGAGAATGTATATGTGTATAAATATGTATGAAATGTATGGTTAGTAACAAAAATCATTTTGTGTAACTTTTTAGAGCTTTTGTGAATTGTGAAATACACGTGAATTCAAGACTTACAAGTGCAACAAAATAAAAGGTAATAAGAATAATACTCGGATACAGTTCAAGTTGGATGAACTTTATTCAACTTGTTGATATGTCATAGATCTAGAAACAAGTGTCCAAAAGTAAAAGTTAAATTTAAAATACATGTTTAAAAATAAAAGTTGGGCAATGCCCAATTTAATTTTAACAATTGTCGCAATTTTATTAGGTCACATCAGCAGGTTGGATGAAATTCATCCAATCTGAATTGGACCCAAATATTGTTCAAATTTAAATGCCTCACTTGATGTATACTTATGTCACTGACAAGGTCAAAAAGCTATCAAGACATCATGCTAAAGAATGGCTGTTACAAAACAAACCAAACAAAAAAGAAAAGAGAAGAAAAATGGTCAAAAGATGGTATGGAATTGGTCCCTTCAAGCATGAGTTGAGCTTCCCCTACTTTCCTCTGGGGGTTTCAATAACCACCTATTGAGATGATCTGCTGCCTTATTCACCTGCAAGAGGGAAAAATATTGTCACAAAATTGAAATTTATTTACATTTTATCATAACCCACAGAAAACTACGATCTTGGTGAACTGATTTAGAAATTAAAATATTAACTTTACAATAAATATTTTATTTCTTCTTTGTTCACCTGTTTATCCCAGTTAGTTCTCCAGATCATGTAAGAAAGCACAAGCGTCTGTATTGCCACTCCACATATCATTCCGGCCCATATACCCTATGAAACAAAAGATATAATTTTCACAAAGAACGTCCTTACATTATTACATATTAAGTATTTCTAAGTCTCGTGAATATGATTGAACAATTATGCTAAATGTTAGGTCTGTTTCTAATCTTGTTCTCCTAGCACCTCATATAGTCGAACTCAAATTATCTGGAAAAAAAATGCAGTTGAATTCATTGTATTGAGTTTGTGTGTGTGACTTCTTACCATAATTTGCAGATTAGCAACAAAACCAAGCAAAAGTCCGAGTGGAATTCCAATGATATAGTAGCAACCAATATTAACAAAAGCAACCACACTTTGCCAACCAGCACCTACAGCCACCCCTGCTTAAAAAAAAAATTAAGGGTTGAAAATTGTCCATGATTATAAGATGTGCTCGAGTATGAGTGTCCTAAAAGTGTGTATTTAAGTGTGCACCTGCACACGAAGTTCTCAAATTGCATAATCATGTCTACAAGAAACAAAACACTTGCCAGAGAACACGGGCTGAAGACTATTGAGCAAGATTGAGAAAGCAAGTAGAACAGAGAAGCTTGACACAGATTCTGCAACTTCTTCATCACTCGTAAACAAATAAGACATACTGTGACCAAAAATAAGGCATAAAACTGCAAAGAACGATCCAAAACAAATTGAAGTTATTGAGATGACTTTGACAGAAAATTTTGCAGCTTCACCGTTTCCTCTTCCCAATTCATTTGAAACACGAACGCTGTACAAGTGAAAATATTAAAGTAAGTAATGTGTGTATACATATATACTTTTTTCTAACTGCAATAAGTAATTCTACTATTAGAGAAAGAAAAGGCATAAGAGTTTCCAGAAATGAAGGCCATACCTTGCAGCAGCTAGGAAGCCTAAGGATACCATAAATTCCCATGCTATAATATTTAGGCTGCAAAATTTCATGCTAAATTAAAACAATTTGTTTGGTAATGTTGAGTGGCTAAAAGAAACAAAACCAGTGAGTTCAGGTAAGTTTACCATATGGAGAAGGCGGATATGGCTATCGTTGCATTTTCCATATATGATGCGATTAAGATCAAGGCAGCGTAGTACCATAACTCCAAGCTGCCAATGGAAAATAACGAGAATAATTGAATCACTGAAGAAACTTTAAAAAGTGAGAAAAATTATATTATAGTTCCAAAAGGAATTGATGAGTTCTTGGATTTCACACTAATATATCATAATAAACATATAACATCGAAGTAATAGTTAAGAACAGCTTAGCAAATAAATAAACACAAACTTTTGTTAACCAAGGAGAAATTGACTAACCAAACCATCACTCCAGAGGATATTGATAGCTTTATTACAGGTAAGAGGTCTATAAAGGCAGCTTTAGAGAATCCTCTCCAAGTCTCCGAACACCAACCTCCGAAAATGTATACAAACAGTCCAACAACCATCAACCAACATGATATGATCATGGCACTCATTGCACCAGGGACACCCCAGTTCCATTTTATCACAAAGAGCCAGGACAGGAAGACATGAAGTACGAATGAAGCAGTGCCTAGCCACCCAACAACCATGTTCTTGAGCTGTCCTTGTAAGTACCTTTGGATGGTTAAGCTAAACACATAGTAGTAGATAATGGGAATGAACCATAAAGAAATGTTCCCTATCTCTTCTGCTATATCTTCGTCCTGGCCAAGAAGCCGAAAGATAGGTCCCGCAAAGACAAAGAAGGGAGCCAAAAGTGTGGCTACAGCGAGGTTAACAATCCAGGATCTTTGCAGGTAGATACCCAGCATGTGATATTGCCCTGCCCCAAATGCTTGCCCACACAGAGTCTCTGTTGCACTTGACATGCCTAACTATACCAAACAAAGAAAATGTTTCACAAGGTAATTGTATGAACAAAGTATGTGTTTTTCACTTTAATAGATCTTGACAATACACCAAAAACAGTACAGAACGCATAGAAGAAATGTGTGAAAGCATGATCTAAGTACATTGAAACTAAAAATAATGAAGTTGAAATTTAAACACATATTTAAATTTAGAACAGAAGTGTTAAAAACTAGAACAAATGTCTTGAAACTTGATTTAAGTGTGCTAACAGCCGTGGTCTGTCACAGCAAGGGATCTAGACTACACACACTAAAAAAAAAGCAAGTTATTAACCATTAAAAACATGAGACTTGTAAGCCAATTATAAAGTTTCAAGGTAGTACTAATGCTGGGTTGAATATTGACAGCAATTTAGAGCATAACCAGACCTTTCACCATATAACTGTATATGCTAGCTAACATGGTAAGAGCTTACCACTACTCCGTTTGCAAACCGGAGTCCAAGTATTTGTATAAGCGCATATGCAGCAAGCTGTGTTTCGCCAATATGTCCCATAAAAGCCTGTGTCACCACCAAAATCCCATATGCACTCACTCTTGTTAGCATAGAAGGAAATGCAACTCTCCACAATTTCTTTGATTCCACCCAGACTCTGACTTTCAACTCACTTGTTTCTTTTGTTTCTGATACCAAGAGCACCTCTTCCATCCTGTTATGCATAAAAGACAGGAATTTTCTACCTCCCATTCATGGATTATAACCAAAATTTGTGACAATCTTTGTTAGGGCAATTGACATGTTATTCGGTGCCAGTCTAACCATGGAGATATTATTTTTAGTATAAAGTCTGCTCTCAAATAAATTAAAAGGTAATTTTATACTATGGTTATTAGGACAGCTATGTTATGCTAGGCGTTGAAAATGAAACAAGAATAACATATTCATATAGCGAAAAAGAGGATGTCAAAACAAGAATAACACATCTCATACAGGGAAAAAGAGATTGTCATGCTGGATGGCGTGTAACTAGAAGAGATGGGATTATTAATTAATAACTGATGGGAAGTAGCTCCTTTTGGTGATAAAATTAAAAAAAGTAGGCTTAGGTGGTATGTTCAGGAGCAAAGTAGACCAACCATTAAAGAGATAGGGTTGTTTGACTAGATGGTAAGAAAGGCCAACTTAAACTTATACCGAATAAAGTAATTAAAGATTTAACGGGAAATTGGGGGTGTGGGTCCCACCATGGGATCACTCATGAAACACCTCAGTATCTCGGATGTATCATTTTTAAAAAATTAAATATCGAAAGAGAGAAGGTTTATAATATGGAGTAAGAAAGAATGAGAAAAGAAAAGAATTTATACGTATAGCAGACCCAAACTGAACACAGGCAAAGGATGACGATGGCTGCTCTCAGACTCGGCAAAGAAATGTATGGTTAAAACAAAAGAAGAGTAGTTGCTAAACATGGATTAAGTATATTGGAACAAAACTGCATAAATAGATGGTTTTAAATGTCTGTAACTCTAAGCATTGACAAAATTTCTAATGACTTAATTACATATTGAGAGAGAGAGATTTGGAAGACTTTCTGTATCAGCAAAAGATAGATATACTTACTAACCTATTTTTCGGAAATTTGCCCTATCACCTCACCTTGCATCCGTGTCTCGTGCTCGTACTTCACAGGCTTTTCCAAACTTTTTACACCATTGGTTGTATACATGCATGAATTAATATAATCATAAACTTCACAGCATATATTTTCAGAATTATTTAAAAACAATAGACAAGAACATTGAAATTCTACCAAAAATTGAAACTGAACAGCAATGAGAATCCATTAAAACGAAGGGAGAGAGGGAGAGAGGGAGAGAGGGAGAGATGGGAGTTATTGCGCACTGCGGCTGCAACTTCCGAGCTTTAAGATCTTCCGCTTATCAGTCTGAAAGAGAGAAATCTGACCACATATATACACAAACGCAACACCTGACGCGATCACACCACCAACCACCATTATTGACGGTAATATTTTTTTAAAAAAAAGTAATTAAAAAATGAAAAAAGTCAAATGAATATATAAATTTCACTTTACTCTCTCTTCCGCCCTGTCCCTGTATTTTATTTGAAACGGTAATTTTCTTTGTGGATTTTCTTCCTTTATTTTTGTACTGGATTTCCTTTATTTTTGTACTGGATTTCTAAGATGCAAGTTTTCTGTAAAACAATTTTTCTTTGGCTGCGTTTAGTAACATTTTTGTTTTCTGTTTTTGCAGTCTTAAGAAAGTATAAACATGATTTTACTTTTTTAAGTGAAAATAGAAGAAATGATATTTATTAACACTTGATGTTGCAACAAATTTAAAAATATAAAATAATAACTGTGTTTAGTAATACAACATATTTGTTACAAAAATGTAAATAATATTCTTTAAATTTTTTATTTTTTTCATTTTTATTTTAATTTTTTTCATGGCAAGATTTTTAGGAGTTAGTGATTAGAGGGGAGGGTAGATGACTTGAACACGAACTCTCAGACACAGGAGTAACCCAATCACTCAGGCATGACACTTGCTTCTATTAATATCAAAAAGCCATAAATCTAAAAAATTTAATTTAAAATTATAAATCTTAAAAATACCCAATACATCATAAGTACAAAATTAGATATACCAAAACAAAAACATTCCCACCAATTATGTATATAAGTACATGTGTATGCATGATGTATACATTTATTACGTGATATATAATATATTTAGCATATAATAATTTATTATGAATAAAACATATTAAATAATATATCATATATGTAATAAACTATATATTGTGTTATAATATTGTAAATTAATTATAATTTAATATTTACATATAATATAATATAGGTATGATATATAATAACATAAAATGTCTACTACTTAATAATTTAATAGCATTATATTCTATATCAAAAATTATTTTGTCACAAAAAATAATTTACATTATTATTTAATATATTATATATTAAAATATATTTTTATCAAATAAAAAATAATATACAATATTTAATATATTCTATATTAAAATATATATTTTTATTAACATTAGTATATAACACAAATAATATGAATTTTATTTGAAATGAATAGTGCTCGTGCAGTAACATCAGTGAAAATGTTTCTGCGTTACAGTGCCGAAAACATAAAAAACATTATTTTTGACGTTTCTTCTTTTCTTCATAAAAATTAAAAACGTTTTCTGTTATAGAAAAACAAAAACATTTTATTGAACACGATTTTTGTTTTCGTTTTGCCTTTTTAGAGGTTAACAACAAAAAACAAAAAAAGTTTCTCGTTACTAAATGCAGCCTTTATTTTTTTGTTTTTTGTTTTTTCACCTTTTTTTGTTTTTCCACAAGTTCATAAATAACTCGCAACAACAAAATACAATCAAATTTCTCTAAAAAAAAAATAGTATTGCCATCAATACATCTCCGTGTTTTTTTTAAGTTTCGTTTCTCATACACTAATAATTAGTTCTACTTCGGCCTCAGAAATATTATGAAGTCTTATTTTAAATATAAATAAATTATAAATAATTATATTATTAAATTTAATAATCCATTATTTTACTATTTCCTTGCTAAAATATACATCAACAAATACAAATTCATTTATTTATTAGTATTTAAAATCATAAGGGTAAATTTGGTATCTTCAATTGATTTTTTTTCACTTTCATGCTATCCAAAATAACAAATTAATATTTTTATACAATTTTTTTGAATAAATTTTCATTCTAACCAAATGCATGTTAGAAAATAAATTTTTTTTTTCATTCACTTCACTTTTCTTTTATTTTCTATTTCTTTTCTTTTCTTACTTATTTCCATCTAACCAAACGGAGCCTAAGTGTTTGATTACGAGTTTCTCGTAATAAATTGGGCTTTTGGATAAACTTGATGTTTTTGCCCTAGATTCAGTCACTTTGCTTGAAATTTCTTCTTTTTATGTTTATGCGTGGCTATTTTTGAATCTATTGAATCAACAAACATATGTTCTGTGTTCAGAAAAATTTTGGCCAACAAAAGTTTATGCTGGTGGTAGCATGATAATTGTTCGATAAAATGCCCAATAGAGGGCTTTGCATGGTAGCATGATAATTGTTCCATAAAATGCCCCAATAGTGGCTCTTCAGAGGACTGTAATGTTTATTAGTTACAATACTGCTTAGAATGAGGGTGAGGAGGACGAAGATTATAGATTCAAATGAATTGTTTGGTATGCAATAGAATTATATTTACCTTTTAGGTTGGGGTGGTTTTGTTTTTATGCCACATAGTTTTATTAATTGGCACGTTTCTAGAATATCTAAAATGAGTCATTTAATAGTCTCTTTCCATATAGTGATGGTTAACTGCCTCTCTTTCTTAAATCTTATTTCGTATTTCAAGATACACACTCTAATAGGAGAAAGATCTGACCCCTTACACACACATACACACATGTAACCACCATTCTGACCATGTGCGGCACGTGCTGCATATGCTGTTTGATTGGTGAGAGGTTAATGAATTTTTTTTAATAACTACCATTCTAACCATGTGCTTGTGCTGCATATGTAGTTTGATTGGTGAGTGGTTAATGAATTTTTTTTTAATAACCGTTTCTTCAGTTTGTATTGACGCAATTTTAAATTCTTTAATTATGTCCCCATCTATGGTAAATAATATTGAAAATAGTCACACACAAATTTCTTAAACATATGCTACTACGTACCTAACACTTCCTTCACTAATAATTTACTCCGTTTTTTATATTTCTTTTGTGAAATTGGGTGATGACTGATGAGTGGGAGACAAAGAAGGTGTAAAAAGTATAGAAGAATCTAAAAAGATCTACAGTACTATTATTGTCAACGAACTTGTCTGATGGATTGAAAAATATTAAAAATAATTATTCTAGATGATCTCAAAAGTAATAAAGACAAAGGGAAAGACGGCATCAAAGGTGACAGGTTTGAGAGAGATTTTATGACACCATGGGTAATTTTATAATTATCTTTGAAAAGAGTGAGATTCAATTATATTTAAAATATATTATATGTTAATTAAAAAATAATAATATAAAATTTTTAAAAAGTTAATTTCACTTACGTCCTTAATCATTTCTCACCTATATTTCCACCAAATTTCAATATTTCATTCACATCTGACCTTTCACCCCACATAGCAAGTTATTTCTGTCATTAAATAACTAACGATGTGCTGATGTCAGCATAAAAAATTTGTTATATGGTTAATTTTACCTTTCTAATATATAAAATGACATCTTTAACCTCGTTGACCAATACAAAATTACAAAACTACCCTTAAAATCTCAAAAATCTCACTGTCATAGCCTTTGTTCAGAAATCTCACTGAAATCTGCGCCAACCTTTCTCTCTCTTCATGTGCACATCCCTTCTCCTTAGTCCCTTCCCCCCTCTCGTTATCACTTCTTTCCCCTTCTTTTGATCAATCATCGAGTATTCAATTGATGTCGAATCCTAGCAAAACCCAAATCTAATTCACCAACTCTAATCTCATCGGAGGAAAGGGAAAGCGGGCTGTGACAGAGCCCGTGGGATTGCTTCTTCACCGGCAGGAAAAAAAAAATTGAAAAACGAAAAGAATAGAAGAGAGAAAATGTGCCAAATTTTATTTTTTTCTTCACCAATTTTTACGGCTGGTAAGATTGGAGAGGTATTGCATAGGCGCCGATGTTTATAGGAGAAGCGGCTGTTGGGTAGTTGGGAGGATCACCTTCCGCTTATTGAGTTTGCTTATAACAACAGTTATTAGGCGAGTATCCAGGTGGCTCCATTTGAGGCGTTGTATGATAGACCTTGTAGGTCTCCTGTTTGTTGGACTGAAATAAACGAGGCAGCCGCCTTAGGACCCGACATTGTATTCGAGACTACCGAGAAAATTAAGCTGATCAGATAGAGGTTACTTATAGCTCAGAGCCGACAGAAGAGTTATGCGGATAAGCGGAGACGGCTGTTATCCTTTGAGGTGGGAGACCACGTTTTTTTTCGGGTTTCTCCACGGAAGGGTTTGATGAGATTCGGGAAGAATGGCAAGTTGTCGCCACGATTCATTGGACCATTTGAGATTTTGGACTGTGTAGGAGAGGTTGCCTATAGACTTACTTTACAACCACAGATGGACAGAGTCCGTAATGTTTTTCATGTGTCGATATTACGGAAGTATGAGCCGGATCCATCTCACATTTTGAGTTGGGTTGATGTGGACATTGATGAGGATGTTTCCTACGAGGAGGGACCAATTCAGCTTATTGACACACAACAGAAGATGTTGAGGAACAAGACGATACCAATGGTGAAAGTTTTTTTGGAGACACCACGGAGTTAAGGAGGCTACTTGGGAGCTTGAACAGGAGGTTCGCTCCAAGTATTCAGAGTTGTTTTCTTCCCCAAGTATGACTTGATTTCGAGGACGAAATCTTTTTTAAGTTGGGGAGAATGTAATGTTTCAAATATATATATATATATATTGTTAGTTAAAAAAAATAAAAATAAAAAAAATAATAAATAAATAAATTGGTGGGGCCCACAATTGTTTTAAGTAGTCATGAGACCATCTTTTGGTCTCTGTTTTCTTTATTCTCTCATCTCTCTCGTTGCCTGCTTCTCTAGTTTCTTTTTTTCTTTTTTCTTTTTTTCATTTCAAAACTTAAATCCTTGATTCCTCTCTCAATTCTTAGTATTTTGAAGTGCCGTTTACGGCAAATTGAAGCTCACGGCGAGGCCTACAAGCTGATAGGAGCAATTCTTTGGTTGATCCGATCAGAGGCCATGTGAGAAAAGCAATTACCTTAATTTTGAAAAGCGAAGGAGAAAAGCAATTACCTTGATTTTGAAGATGGGTGAAGATGCGAAGGTTGTGGGTGTGAACTGGGTTCACCGAAGTCAATTTTTG